GTAACTTCCTGGTCTGGAAAATAAATGCAGGAAGAGAACCCCAATTCAGGGTTAATTTTCCCAAGGAAGGGATGCCTCTCACTGGAGGGTCCTGGAAAGATTAACCACTTTGGGGTCTCTCATTGCTCAGAAGAGATGGGCTTTGAGTAATCCTTTGCATCTCCGTCACCCAGGGGAAGAGGGGTGACAAATCCATGGGGGGCAAAGCAACACAAAGTAACACTCTTAAGTCTGCTGGGGGAAACATGGGGATAAAGCTCCACCCGCAAACCCTGCCCACACAGGTCTCCAAGTGTGGCCTCTGGTGCATGGGGAGGTGTAACGTACTGCTTAACACATCTCAGTCTCCCTCCTTGCTTGTATAAAGCTTCTCCCAAAAAAGCTGTTCTCTGATAAGGTGTACCTTTTCCTAAGTCTTTGCCCATTCTCTCCACACATGCAGAGCTTCTATTCTGTGTATCTCTGTGTACTCTGGGGTCTGTTGAGGGATGACTTATGGCCAAAGCCGCATCCACATTCCTCTTATACTGAAGATGTCTTAGACTAGATTCTCTGAAGAGATGAGATGGAGAATCAGGGTTCACTGGGGGGGAGTGACGGCAGGACTGGGCAGAGGAAGAAGCTGACCTGCAATGGCCAGTATGGGGATCCAAACCCTTGACCTTGGTATTACAACACCACACTCTAACCAACTGAGCTAACCAGCCACCCCTGGAGGTGGGGTTTTGTTTCCACAATATCAACCAGTCACTGGCCAGGAACCACCCCTGGGGAAGATGCACAGCTCCCCATGCACACACAGATGCATTCCTCTGCAAGCAGCAGCACAGTTCTCTGGAGCAGCTGGGGTGTTAGCCTGAAAAAGATCATGTGAATGGAGCTCCACAGTGTCACCACGTATGGACTCTCCTTGTGGTGTGTGACCATAAAAGCCTTGCCCACACTCCCTGCCAACAAAGAGCTCCTCCCTGAGTGTGCCATCTTGTAATTGACTCATGCTCATTCTTTTGCTCGTGTTCAACACTCCCTGAACACATGATGCTTCTACTCCAGTCTTTCGCTGGATATTCAGTAAACACTTATTGCTAAAGCCTTATCCATAGTCCCTGCACATACAAAACTTCTCCCCTAAGTGTGTCCTTTTGTGCACACTGAAGGCTGACTTAGGCTAGAGCTACCCACACTCTGCACTCACAAGGCACATCTCCTGAATGTGTCCCCCAAAGTCTGATGAGGATCCATACACCTCTGCAACTTCACTCACACTCTACACACACACACACACGGAATTCTCCCTGTGTGTCTCTCTGGTGTAAGGTGAGGTTTGACTGATTACTCAGTCTTGCACATGACCCCAACATACACGAGGCTTCTCCCCCGAGTGTGTTCTCTGATGAAGAAGGAGGAGTAAATTCCGGCTAAAGCCTCGGCCACACTCTTTGCACATGTAAGGTTTCTCTCCTGAGTGGGTCCACTCATGTACAATGAGGGTTGACTTGTCACAAAAGCCTCGCCTACATTCCCTGCAAATATAAGGCTTCTCATCTGAATGTGTCCTCTGATGTCTGATGAGATTTGACTTCTGGCTAAAGCCTCGCCCACACTCTCTGCAAACATAAGGCCTTTCCCCTGAGTGTGTTCTCTGGTGGGCGAGGAGGAATGATTTCCGGCTAAAGCCTCGGCCACACTCTCTGCACATGTAAGGTTTCTCTCTTGAGTGTGTCTGTTCATGTATGATAAGGGTTGACTTGTCGCAAAAGCCTCGCCCACACTCTCTACAAACATAAGGCTTCTCCCCTAAGTGTATTCTCTGGTGTTTTCTAAGGGTTGACCTGGCACTAAAGCCTCGCCCACACTCTCTACAAACATAAGGCTTCTCCCCTAAGTGTATTCTCTGGTGTTTTCTAAGGGTTGACCTGGCACTAAAGCCTCGCCCACACTCCAGGCACATGTAAGGTTTCTCACTTGAGTGTGTCCTCTGGTGTCTGATAAAGGATGACTTGTTGGTAAAACCTCGCCCACACTCACTGCAAACATAGGGCTTCTCCCCTGAGTGAGTCCACTGATGTCTACTGAGTATAGACTTATCTCTAAAGCTTTGCCCACACTCCCTGCACACATAAGTCTTCTCTTCTGAATGTGTTTTCTGGTGTTTGTTCAGGTTGGACTTCTGGCTAAAGCCTCTCCCGCACTCACTGCACTCATATGGCTTCTCCCCCGTGTGTGTCCTCTGGTGATTAATAAGGATTGACACTTGCCTAAAGCCTCGGCCACACTCACTGCAAACATAAGGCTTCTCCCCTAAGTGTATTCTCTGGTGTTTTCTAAGGGTTGACCTGGCACTAAAGCCTCGCCCACACTCCAGGCACATGTAAGGTTTCTCACCTGAGTGTGTCCTCTGGTGATTAATGAGGATTGACACTTGCCTAAAGCCTCGGCCACACTCACTGCAAACATAAGGCTTCTCCCCTAAGTGTATTCTCTGGTGTTTTCTAAGGGTTGACCTGGCACTAAAGCCTCGCCCACACTCCAGGCACATGTAAGGTTTCTCACCTGAGTGTGTCCTCTGGTGTCTGATGAAGGATGACTTCTCGGTAAAGCCTCGCCCACACTCATTGCAAACATAGGGCTTCTCCCCTGAGTGAGTCCACTGATGTCTACTGAGGATAGACTTAGTTCTAAAGCTTTGCCCACACTCTCTGCAAACATAAGGCCTCTCTTCTGAATGTGTTCTCTGGTGCCTGTTCAGGTTGGACTTCTGGCTAAAGCTTCGCCCGCACTCACTGCACTCATATGGCTTCTCCCCTGTGTGTGTCCTCTGGTGATCAATAAGGATTGACACCCGGCTAAAGCCTCGGCCACACTCATTGCACACAAAAGGCTTCTCCATCGAATGTGTCCAGTTGTGTTTGATGAGGTTTGACTTATCTTTAAAACCTTGCCCACAATCACTGCAAACATAGGGCTTCTCCCCTACAAAAGTAATCAGGTTTGTAATGAAGTTTGCTTTCAGGCTACAGTCTGGTTCACACTCTTTACAGCTGATTGCTCCAAATCTCAAGGTTTCTAATTCCTTCAATCCTTTATCTGGTTGCACAGGGTTTACACTTTGGGCTGAGTGGGGCTCCATTTGGGGTGGACTGGAAAATGCCCTTGAGGTCTCTCTCTCCTCTGTCCTTGCAGACAAAGGTTTGGAGTCACCTTCTCTCTCTTGACCTGTGATTTCACTCCAGCAGCTTTGATCAGAATAGTGCTGTTCCTGCTGTTTCTGATGCCCTAGGCTGGAATCCCCTGGATGGAAGTGATTTTCTGCACACAAGCCCAAGAAGATCTGAAGCACAGGTTGGCTGAGAAACTGCTGACAGGAGAACGCCAGATGGCAGGAGGAACAAGGGTATGGCTTTGATTCTGCTGAAGAAAGACAGTTTTCTGTTAGAGTAGCCATAGGTGGGACTGCTGGGCTGTTCTGCCTTGTCTCAGGACAGAGAGTGTCTTACTGCCACACCTGTAATTGATGATATATGTACAACCTGATTTCTTTGTGACCAATAATTCCTTTACATTACATTTTTACACATTACATTTTCTATTGCAATACAGAAAATCCACACCAAAAACATCATCTATACGTCAGACAAGGAAACTTTCAAGTAAGCATTATGCTTTGCAAACCACTTCAATTATAGTTAGCCTTTTCTTTCTACTAAAATCATCTAAACTATAGATAATAACATTAATATATAATGTCCACAACTCTTTGTTTTACTTGTAGATAATGATCTCTATGGCCCATGTGGAAATCTCCTTCATGACTTTTCTCATTATACAAAAGGGACAACAGGTATAAAAAGTTACTCAGTCTGGAGGGCTTCCAAATGTAGAAGACAACAACATGTGAAATAGTGGCTAAAGAGATTGTATGTGAAATAAACCTGAATTTCATGTTGCCCATCTGTAAACAAAGATTTATTAGAAAATTTCTAAGTGCTAGATTCTCTCCTAATTATTATAGATTCAGTAGTTAACAAGAAAGGCATGGCCCATGATTTTAGGATTCTGGTACCAAACCAATCCAAAACATGCCCTTCTTTCAGTTTCTCAAAAATCAGTATAAAAGAAAAACTTTCATTTACAGCAGCACCTGCCTACGAGATAGCAAAACTGGTTGCTGCATTTCATCACAGGTGGATCTATCCAGTTGATGCTGACAAATGCCATGTACTTGGCTCCAGACCCCTCCTGGACCTAGATGAAGAATCCTGCCTGACCAAGAAACAATGGAATCTTTATAATCAACTGTGTTCATACCTAAAAACTCACTCTATCCCATCCAGAGTGCTAGTTTTCAAACCTTAATTAGCATAACCACCATGAAACCTCTACCTAACAGTTAAAACCCTTGATTTCCCTCCCCCCCCCTCACCAAACTATACAGTGAATTTCTTCACGGCCTTGGGCTGTTTGTGATCTTGGTTTTACTTTTTGACAATGTGTTTTGCCCTTTGGTTGCTTTGACAAGGCACTCACCAATGCAGGAACCACTGGACTGCCAAAGATCCCACTGTGCTTTGACTGAGCCGCGTGTGCTCAGAGCTGCTTGCCTGGCAGCCTTGCCATGGGTGAGTCTCTCAGCAGCCATCAGGCTCTGGCTGTTCTCACTAATTGTTTCCTGAATTCATTTTATTTATTGGACTCTCTGGATAGACATAACTAATGACTTCTTTCTTTTTCTGGCCAGTTGTCTCTCATAAGACTTTGTGGCAATTCTAGAGTTTTGTGACCTGAACTTTCAGTCTTGATTTTTTGACTGTGACTTGTTGCTGCCTTCCCTTTGGTTTACCTGGAAGCATACCAGGTCATTCAGATGCCAGTCTATTACACCCTACATCACTGAGAAGTATTTCAGTAGAAGGAATCCCATTTGTGACTATTCTGCATTAAACATGGGAACTGCAAAGCTCATTATAGTTAACACCCTGTTAAAGGAACCCCATGTACACTCATTTATAATTCTAATGACTAAGTATTACTAGTAAAGTGTCATCATTTCACTAAAGATAATTTAGATTTATAGAGACCACTGTGAGGAACTTTATATCATGCCCCTTTGCCATGTAATAATTCAGCATATATTTCTAAAGAACAACTATATAGTTGAGATATCTGGCTCCCAACATCACCAACATATTTACTCATTCACTTAAACTTAAAATACAAGGAATGTAGTTTCAGAATAGTTGACCCATATCCTTGGGTAAAAACAAATACACAAAATATAGTTCAAGATTCATATGTAGTTTTTCTTTGTCAATAGAGAAGGAGTTGGCCAATTTTTTCTGTAAATAGTAAATATTTTAGGCTTTGTAGGTCAAATGGTCTCTGTACTGCAGAACAAAAGCAGCCACAAACATGAACAAGCATGGCTGTGTTCCAAAAACCTTTATTCACAAAATTAAGTGGTGAGACAGATTTGGTCTATAGGTCATAGTTTGCCAACTCCTGTTTTACTGTGGACATATGGTCAAAGCTCTCAGCTCAAGAGTTAACTGCATTATTTGTTTTCCCCTATTCTCTGCACTCTTATTATTATTCTGAAATACTGTTAGGTATATTTGTTTCTCTTTGTATTCCATGTTAGGGTTTTTCCCTCTCTTTGTTGGTTTAATTTCTTTCTTTGGGTATGTAAAACACGAATGATCTAAAAGTGAAAAATTATTCAGAAAGGTCTCCTTAGAGAAATGCGTCTCCTTCCCATAGCCTTCTAGTCAGATTCGACATACAACTTGAAAGGTAACCATTAGTTTCTGGTTATTCATCCTGTGTTATTTTGTGCAAAAAAGAAACAGATGTGTATATTCTTATTTCTCCTAATTTCTCATTTAAAAAAATATTCTTTGTAGTTGATTTTTTACTTAATATATCCTAGAATTCACTCCATAACAGTTCAAAGAGATCTTCCTCATTCTTTTATATAGCTTTATAGAAATCCACTGGGAGTATGTACCATAATTTCCTCAGCCAATTTCCTACATAGGGGCTATTAGGTTACTTCCAAAATTTTATGTACCAGTAATGCTGTAATGAATAACCTTGTACAAATGAATTTTCATATTGTTGGATATGAATCTTCACAGTAAATTCCTATAAACAGAACTGCCAGGTCAAAATATATGCATGTATAGTTTTGTTAGATATTGCCAAATTTCTCTCCATAATGGCTGCACCATTACTGCACTGCCACCTGCAGTGTGTAACCGTGCCTATCTCCCTCAACTTTGCCAACAGTGTTTTGTCAACCTTTTGCAGTGTTGCCAAGATAATAGGTAAGAATGGTATGGACTCATATCTGAGTGTAGTTTTAATTTGCATTTACCTCATTAGAAATGAAGTTGAACATCTTTTCATACATGTAAGAGCCAATGTTATATCTTACCTTGTGAACTGTCTGTTAATGTATTTTGCCCATTCTCTTTCCATTTGGTTTTGGGGTTCTTTTCCTCAAATCTTAAGATTTATTCCACATTATGGAAAGTAGCTCTTTATATATGATATATGTGGCAAATATTTCCTGGAATTTTGTCCTATGTCTTTTGACTTTGCTTATTGTATCAAATTTATCAGTCTACTCCTTTATGCATCTGGATTTTCAGCCAAATTTAGAAAACTTCTCCTAAGACCAAGTTATAAAAGATTTACTCAATTTTTTTCTAGTATGTCTATGGTTTAATTTTTCAAAGTGGCTTAACATAGACCTCTAGTCATTTGGAATTTTTCTTATGCATGGTGTGTGGTATGGTCCAATATTATGTTTTGCCAAATGGATATCCAGTTGCCAAACACCATTTATTAAAATGTCTATCTTTAGGGGCCGACCCGGTGGCACACTCGGTAGAGTGCGACACTTGGGAGCGCGGCGGCGCTCCTGCCGAGGGTTCGGATCCCATATAGAGACCGGTCTGCTCACTCAGTGGCTTAACATAGACCTCTAGTCATTTGGAATTTTTCTTATGCATGGTGTGTGGTATGGTCAAATATTATGTTTTGCCAAATGGATATCCAGTTGCCAAACACCATTTATTAAAATGTCTATCTTTAGGGGCTGACCCGGTGGCACACTCGGTAGAGTGCGACACTTGGGAGCGCGGCGGCGCTCCTGCCAAGGGTTCGGATCCCATATAGAGACCGGTCTGCTCACTCATTGAGCGCGGTGCGGGCGTGACACCGAGGGTTGCGATCCCGTTACCGGTCACGAAAAAAGACAAAAAAAGGAAAAAAAAATGTCTATCTTTACTCCAGTGACTTGGGATGACATTTTTATCATATACCAAAGTCCCATAAGTACTTGGGTTGATTCCTGACTTTTTGATTCTATTTGTCTATTCACCTGCCTGTACCACACTGTTTTAATTATAAAGATTTCACAGTATGTCTTAATGTCTCGTAAGGATAGTACCACGTTGTAGTTTAACTTTTCAGCTTATTTCTGGCTATTTTTACATGTGAATTCACAAAAGAGCTTGTTACTATTTCTCCTATTGAGACATGTTAACTTCATGAATTAACTCAGGGGTAAACTGACAACCTGATTTTAATCTATAAAAATATTTTTTGAAAAAAATCAAAGAAATTTTAACACAGATTTAGTGTTAGATGCTACTAAGCTACTATCAACTTTGTTCAATAGTGGTATTGTGGTTATGTAAGAACCAATCTTCAATTTTTAAAGAAATGTGATATATTTAAGGGTGAAATATGATATTTAGGATTAACTTTTTTTTAATTCAGCAAAAAAGAAAGAGAAGGATGAAGCAAGTGAGTATATGCCAATAACTGTTAAGTCTAGATGGTTTGCATTCCTCCTTGATCCTTAATAGCCTTAAGGAATCCTTATTTCTTCTTTAAAATTCAGCATAAGCTTCCCCTCTTGCGGTAAATTGTATTTTTGTCACAATATTTGCTGCTCCTCTGCCACTGAGCCCATCTCTGCAAAAAGATTATCCTTCCCAATACAATGACATCAAAATTGGCTGCAGGATTTGTTCTGGCCAATGAAGATTAGTGGGAAGTTAGTGCCACTTCCAAACAACTTTTAAGAGCCATGGCATAGTTCCATCATTGCTCTTTTTCCTCTACTTTGAGAATCCCATAACCCAGATAGAAGCCATTCCTTTTGCTTGGGTCTCAGAACCAAGAGAGTTGAGCCACACCTGAACTATAGCCAAGAGGTAAGATAAGTGAGAAATGAACATTTGCTACTATAAGACACAAAAGTACTGGCAGTGTTTGTTATCACAGTATTATCCAGTCGAAGCTTACTAAAATATCTCCACCGTGAGCGCTTTAAAGATTCTTTCAAGGAGAATTGGCCCATCTATTTCTAACAGTGCCCGAAGAGATATTATAACATGAACATGTGAAGAAACAGAGAAAAAGAGACTAGTTTATGAGGAAAAATAGTATGCTGTCAATTTTTTATAAGACTGAGAATAAACTTGTGATGTTTTGTAGGCAAGTAGAAAGATGGGGAGCAAGGTGAGACAGTGACAGAAATGGGTTCATTTTAATATGTGATGAACAAAATCATTAAAGTTCAATTGTTTAAGGGCATGAATACAGACACAGAAAAAGAGTATGTGGCACTATGAACCCATACAGTCCAAAGAACAGAGAAAGGAGCAAGAGAAAAGCCAGAAGAGAGACATAAGTTCTGGAGAACTGCAGAATATTATGGTGTCAAGCAACAAAAAGGAAACAATTTCAAGGAATGCAATTGGGGTCCAGGTTTTCAATATCTACATTAATTTGAACCAGGTCATTTTAACATTTTCCTCTGAACCAGTTAAATTTATTAATGAAAGAGAGAGAGACAAGAGAGATGTGTGAGAGAGAGAGAGAGAGAGATTAACATTTTCCTCTGAACCAGTTAAATTTATTAATGAAAGAGAGAGAGACAAGAGAGATGTGAGAGAGAGAGAGAGAGAGAGAGAGAGAGAGAGAGAGAGACAAGAGAGATGTGTGAGAGAGAGAGAGAGAGATATTATGGCACTACTGCTCTAACCAAGTGAGCTAAACCAGCTAGCCCAACAAATAAATTTTTTAAAAAGGGAAAAAAACCTACATGTAACCAGATTAAAATGAATGATTCTACACTGAATTAGATGGAGCAAGGTCAGATGGCGCTAGTTCAAACCAGAAGGAATCACATCAAAACACATCAAAGAAGAAGAAAATGGAACAAAGTAAATTTGGTTAATTCATATCAGGGAAACAGCTATGCCATTTAAAGGAAACTCCTTAAAAATTCCTTCCTGAAACTGATTTGCATCTTCAAAAATGTGATTCTTATTTACATGCTTTATCTACAGACAAATATCTAGAACAGCCCTATCTATTACAGTAGCCTCTATCCATATGTATTTATTGAGCGCTCAAAATGTGGCTAGCATAAACTAAAATATGGGCCAGTCAACAAAAAAATAAATAAATAAACTAAGATGTGCTCTAGTGTAAAATACAAACCAGATTTTGGAGACTTAGTACAAAAAATGAGTAGAATATCTAATTTTTGGGCCGACCCCGTGGCGCACTCGGGAGAGTACGGCGCTGGGAGCGCAGTGGCGCTCCCGCCGCAGGTTCGGATCCTATATAGGAGTGGCCGGTGCGCTCACTGGCTGAGCGTGGTGTGGGCGACACCACACCAAGGGTTGCGATCCCCTTACTGGTCACGAAAAAGACAAAAAAAAAAAAAGAATATCTAATTTTTTATACTGATTACATGTTGAAATGATATTTGGACATATTGGGTTAAATAAAACATATTATTAAAATTAACTTCACCTGCTTAGTTCTATCCTTTTTAATGTGGTTACTAGGAAATTTAAAATTACCCGTATGGCTCACT